TTTTGATAACATTCTCTACGTAAGCGTTCCCCTTAAGAATGTTTGAAATTGTGAGACCAAGAAGTTTTACGCTAGTTAATAATAATAATAATAATAATAATAATAATAATAATATTAAAATTTATAGTGCGCAAATTCCATAAAATGTTCAAATGCGCATTACAAGATTAAAAATTACCATTAAAATAGACTTACAATAATTTTAAGAAACAATTAAAAGTAAACTTAGAATGGCTAAAAAAGCTATAAAAATGCACTACGAAAAAGGTGAGTCTTAAGTTTAGCTTTAAAAATATTTACTGTTCCTGCGCTCCTAATATCCAGCGGTAGTTCGTTCCATAGTTTCGGAGCAGCACAGGTAAAGGAACGGTCCCCCAGTGTAGCTTTCGATTTAAATGATGGATGGCTAAGTAAAAGCTTATCGCTGGAATTTCTTAAATTATATTTGGAGGGGGGTCTAAGGGAAATAAGAGAGGATAGATAAGAAGGGGCTAAAAAATTAAGAATCTTAAAAGTAATTAACAATATTTTAAACTCAATTCTATATCTAATTGGTAACCAGTGTAACTTAAAAATTAAGGGCGTAATATGACAAAATTTCTGTTCTTTAAGAATCAGTCTGGCACAAGCATTCTGTACTTGTTGCAGCTTATTCAACAAGCAGTCCGGTAGTCCATATAATAGGCCATTACAATAGTCCAGGCGGCTCGTTATGAATGAATGGACAAGAGTTTCAGTTGACTGCTGTGAAAGGTACTTTCTGATCCGACGAATATTATAAATGTAGTAAAATGAAGAGGCACAAATTTTCGTGATACATACATACATATATACATACATAAGTTGTATTTATCCTCGGATTTCAGTGTAGCTTACAAGCTAGTATCTCCGATCCTAATTACTAATTTTAAAAGTTACAGCAAGAACAAGGCTAAAAAGATAAAAAAATTTTTATAATATAATAATATGATAATCATTAATATAATAATATAATGTAATATTAATGTAATACTAACGGAAACCGTGCACTAAAAGTTTGCGGTTAAATTCACTATAATCTACAGTCTTTCTAAAGTGGGCAGGGAGGGTGTTCCAGTACTTAACAGATGAATAGCTAAAAGAATTTAGACCATATGTGGTTGTAAACGGCTTAGGAAGTGATAAAATATTGGTGCCCCTTGGGGAGTAAGCAGTAGATCTTAGCTTGATCAGTTGCTTCAAATAGCACGGATATTTACCAAGATGGAGACAGTTGAATATACAAATCATCATATTTTGTATCCTCCTGTTGGCTAAACCACACACACCTGCCTTGTCTAAGAGATCATCATAGTTCGAGTCCCAGTCCTTTAAAACAAATCTTAAAATAAGTCCATTTAAGGTGTCGAGTTTAACAGAGTCCTCTGAATTATAAAAGTGCCATATCATTGAGCAGTAGTGAAAATGGGGTAACATAAACGTTTTATAAAGGCGAAGCAATTTCGGTAGAAATAAGTTTGCCAAATCTTTTGAAGACACTGAACTGATTATTTATTTTTTTACATATAGAGGATATGTGTTCCTTGAAATTAAGTTCATTATCAAGAATTATTCCAAAAAGTTCCTGGCATCTTGTGGTTGAGAAGTAGAAAGGGTAATCGGTTTTGCCAAGAACCATCCCCTGGTGTTTAACGGGGTTGGCTTTCATCCCATTGTCTTCGAACCATTTGTTTGCTATTTGTACATCATGATTGATCCGCTGTTCCAAGGCTACTGGGTCTACGTCAGATGTGTGCAGTTGGCAGTCATCAGCATAAGGGTTTAGTTCTCCAGACTTATTGTTAAAGATGAGGTCATTAAGGAACATGTTGCAAAACATGGGTCCCAGGACGCTGCCTTGAGGCACGCCACGCTTCACGCTCATCCAATCCGAATAAGTATCACCGATTTTCACTCGCAGCATTCTATCCGTCTAGTAGTCACCGATAAGGGCACAGCTAGACTCATGCAAACCATACGCTTTCAGTTTCGCCAGTAGCAAAGCATAAGGTACGGTGTCGTAAGCTTTTGACAAATCCATTGATATAACCGTCAAGATCTCTTTATTATTATCTAGACTATGCCTCCAGTCCTCAGTCAGCCTAAGCAAAGATGTCTCACAGCTATGGTGCCTTCTGTACACAGATACGTATTCAGACAATATGTTTTGGTAAAAGTCGCCCATTTCAGCTAAAAGCAGCCTCTCGAAAACATTATTGAGCGCAGGTAGAAAGGTCACTGGTCGATAATTGCTTTTGTTCAGTTCATCCTTCTTTTTGAATATAGGAGTAACTTGACCTAATTTCCAGCGAGACGGATACTGTCCTGTCCTGATCGAGTGATTCATTATTGCAGCAATAGGACCAGCAATAGGCCCCTGCTAGGCGTCTCAAATTAATCCCCCTCGGGTCAGCCTTTGTGATTTTGTTGAATATCGTGACAGTACCTTCAAGTTAAAATTACTTACTATTGATGAACTGTGTAAACTTGTGAATGATATCCCTGTGGGCAAGGCTGATGGACTTGATGGGATCCCAACTTCCCACCTAAAGTAATCGTTTACATTCATTGCATCTTCTTTGACTCCTATATTTAATTTAGTTATCTCCACTGGAATCATTCCCAACGACTGGAAGTGTGCTAGAGTAACTCCAATTCACAAAGCTGACTCGAGGGTTGATCCAGCAAACTACAGGCCTATTTCTGTACTTTCTGTAATAGCTAAGCTCTTTGAAAAAGCAATTTTCAATCAGGTATACTCATACTTAAATGAGAATAACCTACTTTCTAAATATCAGTCTGGCTTTAGACCCATGCACTCTACTCTTACGGCTCTCATTGATATCACAGACAATTGGTATCTCAACAACGACAATGTTTGACGAATGCCCTTCTGTTTATAGATTTAAAAAAGGCATTCGACACTATTGACCATGAGATCCTTTTGTCAAAGCTGGAGTTGTATGGGTTTAGGGGTGTAATACGTTCTGAGGTGCCCCAAGGTTCAATCATCGGGCCCCTATTATTTCTATTATACATTAATGACCTTCCCAACTGTGACCTTCTGTCAGATGTGAGGATGTACGCCGATGACACTAATCTCACGTTTGCCTCCAATGATCCTGAAGAGCTGTTTTCATCCCTAACCCACGATCTGAGCACTCTGAAACAATGGCTTGACTCTAACTGTTTAAGTCTTAACGTCCTCAAGACGAAGTGTCTGTTTACAGGCACAAGGTACAAAATCTCCTCGCTTCCTAGTGAACCTTGTATTTACCTTGATGGACACTTAATTGAAAGAGTCAATAGTTACAAATGTCTTGGTGTTCAAGTGGATCAAACACCCTCATGGGAAGCCTATATCTCCAAGGTCGCCAGTAAAATTGCTAAAGTACTTGCTGCCCTTAGGAGGCGAAGACCGATATGTCCTCAAAGTACCCTGGTCACAATTTATAAGTCACTGGTTCTTCCACATTTCGACTATTGCGGCGCTGTGTGGGGATGTAACTGATATGGCCTCAGACAAAAACTGGAGAAACTACAAAACAGGGCGGCACGTATAATAACAGGGTCTGGTTGGGATGTCAGATCTACCCAGATTCTTCGTGCCCTCAAATGGGAAAGCCTCACTGACAGACGTGCAAAACAATTGAAATCTTTAATGTTTAAAACTGCTAATAACCTTGTACCCGAATACCTG